AAGTCTAAGAGGACCAATTGAGGTTGAGATGTGAGGAAGAGAAGAAAAGCAATGAGAGACAAAAGGAGAGTAGGAGAGAAGAAAGAGAAGTGGCTAAATGTGAGAAAAAAGAGTAAAGTCACAAGAGAGAAACGGAAGTGAGTCTTCTGAGAGGAGAGAAAAATCCAACGTGAGCTTCTACGTAAAAAGGAATGAGATTGAGAGTGCTTTGGTGAGGACTAACGAACCCCTCTCCAATTTGGATATCTCTCACAAGTAGACTTTTCCAGGAAGACTTGATTGATGGGATACCACCCATTGAATATCTAACTGTTTCGATGAAACTGGATAATTTGATAAGCATTGAAGGAGAAACATTCAACAATGATATGGGGATCGAATTATATGCATCAAAAGGTAGCATAGGAAAATAACATAAAGTATTCAAACTAGGTGATTGGTTTTGGATGTGTAGGCAAAAGGGGCATGTTTGGTTGCAAAGGAGGTCAAGGTTTCATCCTAAAGGAGATTGATCATTCTATGTTATTGCAATGATTGACAACAATGGCTACAATTTGAATCTTCAAAATATAGATTCGAGGTCGAATCCTATTGAAGAGGGATGGGATGATGTGATCCAAGCCACACAATCAAGTGTTCAAGCCAAGAAGTCCAAAGGTTGACGTTAACATGTCAAAGAACAAGTTTCATGTTGGGTTTGGGAGAAGAATAACATTGGGTCAACATGATTCGAGCAATGGACAAAGAGGAGGAAACTACACAACTATGTGACCGCATAGTTCAACGGTGGATGTAAAATTTCCAAAATATGCGAGATCCTTTAATTTTGTTTGCACTTTACTTTTTTGGTAATTTTTATATTCTTTAGGACTTTTAATTCGTTTTAACTAGGTTTTTATCAGTGTCCTATAAATAGAAAACATTATTCACATTGTAACACAACTTTAATATTATATTCAATTTGAGAGGCAAATTTGCTTTCAATCATTTTTCTTCATCGAGCAATTTACTGAACTTATTAAGATTAAATCTTGTGGCTTTCAAACAACTGCGTGAGATTTACAAATCTTGTGATTAAGAGGTAAATACATCGTAGGCAATTGATTGGTTGCTTGATTCATTATTTTTGAGTCAAATCCAAAACTTTGATTTATTTGACTTTTTTGGGTTCGATTCAATCTCGTGTATTTCATAGCTTCAATTGCTACGTGGGTTCGCATTAATAGGTATCTCTAGATAGGACTGTACAAGGATATAACTAATTTTTTCATACTTGAGAACAATTCTTAGATTGTGGTGCCAATCTAGAAAATTTGGCACGATTAGATTGTTGGTATCCAGTATGCTTATCAAATTCATATGGTTACTCTTGATTTAAAATTATAAATGCTAAAAAATAAAGATATAATATGTACCGATAAATGCATTAGTTAATTTACATGATCTTTAGTCAAGTTAATTATGCTCCCATTGTTTAAAATAAATTTATGACATTCTCACATTAATTAATAGAACCAATACTTGACTCCAAGTAGGCTAAGATCTATTTGTTATATTAAAGCATTGAGTGTATCCAACAATCCTCAATAAAATATTTCGGTAGGTACTAGTATTAGTTGTATCTACATACAACCACTAGATCATGAAATCGGTAACTCTTTGTCTTCATATATCATATGCGATAGTTTAATATGATTCTAGAATTCATCTCTTTGAGTGTACTCAACAATTTTTTTTTAGTTAAGTCAAATACATCATCCATAAAATATATAATATTTCATAATGCCAAATATATCCTTAAATGACTAGTCTTGAGTGTACTGATTAGACTGAGATTGATAAGAGACTCAATTTTCACTATAATTATAAAAGACGAATTATAAACTTGACTTAATATTTTAATGAGGGGTTTAACATGCATTTGTCCCATCATTCATATATTATATATTTTATTATACATTTAATATGCAAATAAACATACATATAATAATATGAAAGATTATGGCTTTTTACTATTTATCATCCAGAAACATAAGGAAGACTAGTTGGTCATTTTCTAAGGGGACATAGTATTGAATCATACAATCTTCATTTCTATGGTCTTTGCCTCTTCTTGCATCTTCAGCTATAATAGATTTAGACATGGAAACCCATAATAATAATAATAATAGAGTCGCATGTCCAAAATTAGTAAGAGCTTGTAGGCTCAAAACAACAAGAATTAAAACCAACCATTCAATACAACTACATGATCGAGTCCATTGTAATTCATTATATATAAATTTATCACATAAATTTATTCCTATATAGAGAAATGATTTAACGGACATCGTTGCTCATTTTATCCTAAGCATGGTGATGTGTCATATCCACCAATGAATTAATATGACATATCATCGGTATTTAGTATAAAATTAGCAAAGGGGCTCATTACCTGTGTATATAATATTAGATATTATATGTAAACATATTTTAAATTTCTAGCAATTAAGACTGTCTAAACTAATTTAGACAGATGTATCGGTACAATTAAATAAATAATTAATAAAACTAATTAATTAATTTAATGAGTAGGTTATTTAATTAAAATTAAATTTTAATTAAACACCAAAATTATAGTTCCAATTCCACAATTTTACGGCAAATTGAATTAACATTTCAATTTAGGATAAAAATCCTAAATAAAATAAAATTCAATTTAGGTTCAAAGTTCTAAATTTTTGTTTAAATCCAATTTTAACGATAATTTAAAAAGTTTTGAATTTTAAATAAATTTTAATTGGTCAAAACAGAATTCTTTGTTAAATTGAATTTAAGGTCGAAGAATTTTGAAATTCAAATTAAAATCTTTTACAAAATTTATATTCAAAACCGCATTTGAAATTGCATTATGACCTTTATTTTTAAATTATAGACAGTCCTCCCAATTTCTCAAATTGCAAGTAAGCCTTACTTTCAAAATTGCAACATGATCCCTTGAATCAGAATTATAGGCAAGGGCCCACAATTTCACAAATTGCACATGAGGCCCCACCTCCAAAGCAAATTGACAAACCCTAAAATTGATTTTTGGGGACGGCGCTTGCCATTGTTGGTGTTGCACTTGCGACATGCCGCGGCATATCTCCATTGTAGCAATTCTTCATGCTGCTGTAAAAATTACAGGAATGCTCGTAGCTGTCTTTGTGTGTAGCAGTTGCCTTGTGAACTAGTTGCCATGCATGCGAGATGGCGGTCGTCGCCACAGTCGATGGCGGTTTTTGTGGCTACATTGTCGTTGGCCCACCATTTTTCGACCCAATTTTGACCAAAAGATTGTTTTCTTTTTAAAAGCAAATTTTAGAATATGAAAATAATTTTTTTTAAAAGCTAGAAACAAGAAAATAATAACATTTAACTATTGATTGTTCCAAAATTCAAAAACAACTTCTAATAAACACAAAGTCGGCTTTGATGCCACTGATAAAAATTTACCTGCAAAATGAAGTTTAAAAATAATTTTTATGTTTCAATAAAATCCAAAATCCAAAGAGGAGCCTAACAATCTTAACCCGTCAAAAATTATTTCAAAGACTTTTAATAATAGTTTTAACAAACTTCGATAAAAATTGATGTAATATTTAATGAAAAAATTAATAAAAATTGTGAGTCTCACGAGATATACATGGAATAATTAAAAAGTTAGAATAACAAATGTATCATGTCAGGTAAATGAGGAAGACCCAATGAAATAAATGGATCAATAGTAGTGGGGAATGGGCAATCACGGAGAAAAAAGTAGAGAATAAAAGAGATGATAAAAACTAGAAAGGGACAAAAACACTTGTCACGGGGCACAGAATTCTATCAATCCACATTCTATTTTCTTTGTCACTTCTTCCGTGCCTTGCTTCGTCTGGACAAATTAACCTTTTGTATGCTATCATGCTCGTATTTTTGAATTTTAATCCTCCATTCACCGACAGAGCGAGAAGTGGATTAAAAATTTTAATTCTGCAGAGTTCAAAAAACAACTGAGGTCTAAAAGACCGAAATAAATAACAATTAAAATGAATAACAAGAACCCTAGCTACCTAATCATGTACACGTCACAAAATTATAAAGTGAGCTCGTTCTACTCGTTATGTACAGGAGGTGGATTTGTGACGTTTGATGTTGTCATTCGCGTACAAGTCTTCATTGGTAGAATGAGTGAAATTTCCCCGAGTATGATGGTTTTTACGAATCCCATTATTGATCGGGATTTTCTTTCTTAAAATTGCTTTTGTCCAATGAAAGAGAACGAACTGAGGTGAGGTCAAGACCATTTTGACTTCTATTGTATAGATAAAATGTAGGACTTGTAAAACTTGATTGTATTTAGTCAAAACTATAAGTTTTATACACATATTAAGACCGTAAAATATATAGAACAAAAAAGCAACACTTCATGCTAATACTTTTGGGGTGATGCTGCACGCATATCAAGGTATCTATAACGGTATTCACATTCCTTACATGGAAAGAGACCCATTTCAAAAGTATATTATATTCGAAGTAGGTTGCCCTTATATATTCAAAGTGGGCTGCCCTCCATGCAAGGAAGGTGGCATGGAGGGGCGGACATCGTTATGAATACAGCATTATGTACATGTAGTATATTCCATACTCTACTACATTTTCTTTATTCCAAATGAATCTTAAAACTCTTTATCATTTCAGTATTGAAAAGGAATTCTATTAACTAATGTCTCAAAATTAGGACCAGTCAAAAAAAGAAAAAGGAAAAAATTCTTCTAGAGTCTTGGTGTTGTCCCCACAAAGGCAGGGTAGATGATGATCATATTGTGAAGATTACCTATGTAAGAAGGAATCTTGAAGCGATGGCTGATTGAATTTGCAGGGTCCCCACTGAGTCACATGTTCTGGGCTTTAAGACAAGCCTGGATTGTGTACTATTATAGTTTGTGACGCCCAGCAAGACTGAGAGATACTACTGTCTGAAAACCATAATCGTCCAAACATTTGCACCGTGACCAATTGCCTTGTCCAAAAACTCTATTCTTCTGCATTATTCATCAGTTCCCACATGGTAAATAAATAGTGAATGGAAATATATGTCCATTCAAGAAAGCCCGTGTTCGGTACGATGGACTATACATTATTCACAGGTTCGACTTTCGACGTGCTGTATGGCTTGTGGAAAACTATGTAGTAATTATCAATGGTATTAAAAAAAAAGGGGAAATCATTTAGCAATCTTGTCCTCATTTTCTGTGGTTGAGTTGAATTACCAACTGTACTTTGTCTTTTGTTGCGTTTTTTTGTGATCTTTTGGTTCTGAAAGAACATCGATGAAACTTTCAATAATTACTCCATTTTCGGTCCCTATCCACTTGCAGCACACCAATCCATGGCATCCCTCCACGAACTGCTATCTGAAGAAGGATTTGAGCACCAAAAATCTCTGGAAACCAGAAAAAAGGTGAAGTTTAGAGACAGGAGAGTCCAAGATGAGTCGATTACACTGCCTATTTACATATGCCATGACAGAAGAAGATTTGATGCTTCATCTAAGCAGAGGAGTGAAAAGGCCAATTCAATCAACGGTTCTACGGTTTTTTCATCAAGAAGAAGGGATTCAGACTCTGAGAGATCGAATACAAAGTCTGTCACAGAAGGGACTTCTAGAAAAGATGAGCCTGCAATTGATGATGCGGCTATTAAAGCTGTGATTTCTATCTTGAGTGGATATGTAGGCCAGTATTCAAGAGACAAGAATTTTCGCAAAACAATCAGAGAAAAGTGTTATTCTTGCTTTGTGAAAAGGAAGAAGTATTCATCAGATAATGGAGTTTTTGCCAATATGGAATTGGGAATTCAGAGTATTGAGGGATTGGTCGAAAGTCAAGAGATAAATAAGAAATCACTGAAGAATTCTATTCAGCTGTTGAACATTGTAGCTTCCTTGAATTCCAAAACCTCAATAGATGGTTCAACTTGTGGAGCATCCAATTCATATCTCTCAGCTTGCGCACAACTTTACTTATCAATTGCTTACAGGATTGCGGAAAATTATAGAAATTCGGCTAAACACGTCCTGCAAGTGTTTTGTGATTCGCCATTTCTTGCGCGAGCACATTTGCTTCCTGAACTTTGGGAACATTTCTTTCTTCCCCACTTACTTCACCTCAAGATTTGGTACGCTAAAGAGCTTAAATTTCTTTCTAATTCGAAATATGTTGACAAGGAGAAAAAGATTAAGGCTCTTAACAAGTTGTATAATAGTCAATTGGATTTTGGGACAATACAGTTTGCTTTTTACTACAAGGAGTGGCTTAAAATTGGTGTTCCAGCTCCTGTTGTTCCTTCTGTTCCGTTACCTTCGAAAATAAGCCATGCTCGTTCAAGAAGGAGATCTTCGGACTCTTCAACTTCTTATCATTCCATCAGTAATAAATCACTGTAAGTTTGAGTTAAATAGATGTTCTGTTATCTCTTTTCATAGGAGAATGAGAATAGATTATATACATTTTTCCCTTGTGTCTTTGTGCCCAAAGATATCAAGCTGTTTTTGGAAATCCAAAGGGAGAAGAGAAGTTCTGTATGGTAGAAGAAGAAATCAAGCATTGCAGTCATGTTGAAGTAGGTAACCGGTATCCTCTCGAATAAATTAAATTTTTTGATAGGTGATATTATAAACATGATTTATATTTATCTTGATAATCTTGACAGGAGAGAGCTATGGATCAACAATTGTTGTCAAGTCAAAGTTACAGAAAACCGAAAGTTGAATTGTGGCCAGAAAATCAGAAATCAGATTATTTCAGGTTTTTAGCTTGCCGCAATGAACCAACACAGTGCTTGGTAGAGGAAAACTATAAGCCTAAAAATTCCATAATCAAGAAAGCTGAAAATGTCCATCTTTCTCCCTCCAACGACGTATTGAGAGCCATTTCTGTTATTTGCTCCTTAGGTAGCCTGACTGATTGTGAAATGGCAATTCGTGTGGTGAGCAAAGTTTGGTTGGATTCTCAAGGAGATCCCACAATTGAAAATTCATTATCACAGGTTCCTGTTATGGAAGGAATAATGGAGGTTTTATTTGTCTCTAATGATGATGAAGTCTTGGAACTTGCTATCTCAATTTTAGCAGAACTGGCAACAAAGAGGGAGTTGAATGCAAAAATCATATTGAATTCAGATCCGAACCTTGATGTCTTCCTAAGATTACTGAGAAGTAACAGCCTATTTCTGAAAGCCGCAGCTCTACTTTACCTAGTGAAGCCAAAGGCTAAGCAGATGATATCAACAGAATGGATTCCACTAGTCCTTCGAGTTCTAGAATTCGGTGATCAAACACAATCCTTATTCACAGTTCGAAGCAGCCCTCAGGTGGCAGCATATTACTTCCTAGACCAACTTTTAACGGGGTTTAATGAAGACAAAAATTTAGAGAATGCTAGACAAATCATTTCACTAGGTGGGCTGAACTTGCTTGTCAGAAGGACGGACGTCGGGGACACTTATGAGAAGAGTAGAGCTGCTACTGTTCTACATTATTGTATTCAAGCTGATGGAACCTGTCGACACTTCTTGTCCAAAAACTTGAAGAAAGACATTATTATATCCCTCCTTTTCCTCGGAAAGCAAATGAATTCTCATGGACATGCTCTTGCATTACTGACAGAGTTACTCTGCCTTAACAGGTAACAATTTCAGTTATATGATTATATGGTTATTTCGTTAACATTGTTGACTAAAAGTGATCCTGATCTTTCGGAATCACCAGAAGAAACCAGAAAGAAGAATTCTTAGGTGGACTAATAATGGGATGTGACTGCTTAAACACAATGAATATTTTGTTACTCTACCTCCAAAATGCAAGGCCAGAAGAACGCCTGATAGTTGCAGTCATATTGCTACAGCTAGATCTAATGGTTAGTTCAAAATTGTCTTCTTTCTCCTTTTTCCTCCAACAAACACAATATTCAGTAGTCAAATGTGAACAAGGTCAATTCTTAGACAGGTACATTAACGCTTAAATTGTTCTACAGGGAGATCCTTTGGAGTATAGTGTATATAGGGAAGAGGTGGTAGATGCAATGGTAAAAGCTTTAGATTGTCAAGTGTTCAACGGGATAGTCCAGGAGCAATCAGCCAGAGCTCTCCTAATTCTCGGAGGACATTTTTCTTATAATGGAGAGCCAATAATGGAGAAATGGCTCTTGAGAAAAGCGGGCTTTGATGAGAAGTCAGAAGACTCGTTTTATGGAAAGGACATCGGTGTTGATGGATACTTACAATTGGTGAGTCCTATTCTCCATTGAATCTGATCTGTTTCTGCATATCCATTAAATACTATAATAATAAAATCGTTGTGATTTGGTCTTGATTTCCAATTATTGAGCTTATCTAGTTTATGCTGACAATTCTCAGAATAAAGAGGACAAAACAGTGGAAATTTGGCAAAGAAAAGCAGCAATGGTTTTGCTTACCATTGGCAACGGGAGGCTTCTTGAGGCTCTTTCGGATTCAATGGCCAATGGTATCCCATGCCTGGCACGAGCAAGCCTGGTGACTGTATGCTGGATGAGCATTGGTCTCCATTCCCTTGGAGATACACATCTTAAATTCAAGGCATGCTCAGTCCTCATGACACAACTAGTAGAATCCTTGAACTATGACAGGCCTCTCGAGGAAAGAATTCTGGCATCATTTTCGTTACTCAGCCTTATAAAGGGTACAGGTAAAAGAATTTCCATTGATTTTAGCTTGAACTTGCACCAAATTTCTTGTTAAATAGAATGTTCTTAACAATTTTCTTATACTGCCCTTTTCTTTCAGATTATTTTTCCAAACCATTGGCTACAGATAAAGAGCTTCTGAATCGCCTTTCAAAAATCTCTCAAGTAACTTGGACAGCTGAGGAGCTTATTTCAATTATGACAAGCAGTTGGACAGATTCATGAAGAAATAACAAGAAGATTAGCATTTAAGTCTTAGTTTGCAGTAGAAGATTTGGCAGCTAGCTCAGCCCCTTCTTCTTCAGGAGGAACTCCAGGTTGAGGAGTTACTCGGAATGCTGCCAAAATATCAGCATCTTTGGTTTCGTATTTAGGAGTATAGTAAGACAATTGTAAGGATTTCCTTCTTCATTTGCATGCATATACACGCCAACTTGATCTTGTTTATATGTTGTGAAGGGAACTTTTTTTTGTTCTAATACCTTGTATTGTGTGTCCTTTGTGAAAGAAGTTATGTTATTGATTTCATCAATCTGTAAAATGGAAATTTCCCTGTAAATAGATGAATCATATTCTTCGCTAAAACTTTTGAATACTCTTTCCTCTCTGCTTGCTTCATGTGGAAGATGGATCTGGAAGATGCCTTAGAGTCAATGTATTTGCCAAATTCTGCAATGTAAGATCAAGTTTTGTATTGAAGTTTGAATGTTAGTATCCAAATCTTTCAATCAAATTCCTGAAACTACAATAGATTTAGATATACCTAATGTCACAAATTTTGTTGGATTCAAATTCTGACAATCAGAGTAGACAAGAGTGACTTCTTTTGTCTTAAACAATATAGGTTCATAAACAATGCTACATGTACAGAAAATTTTTACATGCACTTTTACAGAATGCCGCATTGCAACATTTCATTGAATTTTGGGTAAAATATATAGTTAAAACAGTCAATCAAGTGCTACCACCTCACCACCTGCAAAATTACCTGTGCACTTTCCCGTACAAATGGTAAAACCCTAGATTCATTACCATATAGCGATCCTTAGAGTGGAGAGAAATTATTTTGAGACAGTAATATAATCAATCATTTATCATGTGCCTACTGCGTGTCATTTTAACATATAAATACAAGATTTCCGTATTGAAGGGATATCGTATGTACAAATTTAAAATGTTGGAGACAGAGTGGCCCAAATAGAAGGTTGAGGAGGACATGGGATGACATAGAAGAAAAGGTTGGGACTCTTAGATGAATTTACACTAAAATTCATATTAATTCATTTAAAAGATTATTTAAATGATGTATGCGTTATCTACTTAATAGCTTAAAATTTTAGATCAAATAGTTCAACATTTATTAGAGTAGGCGAAGGTTAAAGTTCAAGTCAAATCGTCACTTATTTAAATGAGATTGTATTTGTATATATCAGTTTAGGCTTTAATAGAAAAAGGAAAAATGAATCTTGCATTCACATGAAAAAGCATTTTAAAATTTATTTGTAATATACGCATATCTTTAATTTTTATATTATCAAATGATTCTTGTGATTTCTAAAAGATTGATTGACACAGGCAATATATATGGAATTTAGTACAGATTTTGTCTTTTGGGTGCGGCCAGAATAAGCCCACTACTTTAATAGGCTATTTTGTTAGTCTTGTCTCTTTGACTTTTCAAATTTTGGGTTCACGTGTTTGAATTTTAGGAAAGTTACACCAGAAGAAATAAAAATGGTGGTTGATTCTGTGGAGTTACTGATAACTTTAAATTGATCAAACCAACCTAAAGTAAGTTCCAAATCAATTATTAAGAAGGGAATCAAAACTGTGAATGAAAAATACAAATATTGGCACCAAAGGTGATTGGATAGGGCTCATATCAATGACCCAAAAACATCTAGCTCATATCAGTGGTTGATAAAGCAACTATAGTTGAAGTTGAGACTTCTAACTCACATAAGAGTAACACAAAGTAAAAATATAAGAGGAAGTTTGATTTCTATTGTCTCTATCATAACTATAGTTAGCATATGTGAAACCTTTAAGTTTCACACCTTCATTAGCTGATTTATAAACTAACCATGCATCAAAAGTACCCTTCAAGTACCTAAGCAACCACTTTAATGTTTTCTAATGTTTGGGACCAGGATTGGAAATGTACCTACTTAACACACTCATAGTGAAAGCCAAATCAAATCTAGTACATAACCTAAGGTACACGATGGAGCAAATGACATTTGAATAAGGAATATTATTTATAGCTTCTCTTTCTTCATTATTAGCAGTTGATTGTTCTTTTGACAAAATAAAATGATTTTCAAGAGGCACAGAAGTTGGTTTGCAATCAAGCATATAAAAAATAAACTAACTCTTTATTAGTGATGTATTTTAGGTAATAAAAGCAATGAACAAATTCACTCCTCTTGAAACCAATAGAGGACACATAAGAATTAAACTTTTTGTACCATTGACGTGAAGACTGTTTTAACCCATAAAATGATTTCTTTAGAAAACACACATGGTCAGGTTTAGACTTTCAAAACCTTTGGGTTGATTCATAAAAATCTTTACTTCATGATCACCATGTAAAAATGCAATTTTGACATCAAGTTATTAAAATTCATGGTCATAGTAAGCAATAAGAGCAAGCATCACCCTAATAGTGATATACTTAACAACTGATGAAAGGATCTCATTATAATCTATCACTTCGTTCTGAGTGTACCCCTTGGCTACTGACTTAGCTTTATGTCTCACGAGCTCACTTTCAATGGTTCCCTCCTTAATTTTTTAAATCCATTTGCATTCTACTATGAATTTATATTTATTTCTAGGATCTAAATCTTAAGTTTGATTCTTGGCAAGAGAACTCATCTTCTCTCATGGCACCTAGCCGCTCTTCACTCTTCTTACTCCTCATAGCCTTCTCATAGGCATTTGGCTCCTTATTAACTAGTTCTTGATAACTAGTTTAGGCTATGTTATAGTCAGGCATTTTTCGGAGATCCCTATGTGGTCTTTTCTCTCTATCTTTAGCTAGTTGATAGTCGGCTAGAGGGTTTCGATTGATAGGGTAGTACTCAACAACTTTCTCATCACCTTTTAACTCTATATTCTGCTAATTTTGTGTATTACTCTCTACCCCGCTCGAAATAATGGGAATGTACCCGAGCTTTCGGCTCGGGCCTTTCCAAGCCGAGCCGGACAGGCTCGCTTTTTTTACTCTTTTTTTTCTCTCTTCATATATAGGCAACAGCCTACTACATTATTATTGGAAAAATGGCAGCATTGTGCTACCTAAAATTAGGCAGCACGCTACTGCCTTTTTTTAGGAACCTAGATTGTGGCTCGGCCCGAGCTTTGGCTCGATAGAACCGAGCCTCAAGTCGGGCTGGCTTGGGCTTTTTTCGAGCCGAGTCACGGGTGGCCCAAGCCGGCGAGCCCAATTGCCATCCCTACTTATTATTCTCCACTTTCTTTCTAAGGCATTTCAGACTCATTAAATGTGACATAGTGACTTATGATTATTCTTATGCCCTTTTGGCTTCTATCCAATAACCTCTATCACTTGACTCCTTCAATGTAGCCTAAGAAGACACATTTTTTAGTTCTAGGTTCTAGTTTTTCCTCACTTGATAAGAGAAAATAGTACAGCTAAAAGACCTAAGTATAGAATAATAAGCACATTTATCGTATCAAATCTCATACGGAGTATCACCATTTAAAGCAATGAAAAGAGTCATATTAGTCAAATAACATGCAATCATAACAACTTCACCCCCAAAACGACTTAGGTACATTAGAATTTAACACCATACATCTAACTTTATCAAGCAAAGTACAATTCATCCTTTTAGCAACCTTGTTTTACTAGGGAGTGTAAGGTATTAGTGATGCTATATTCATTATATAAATTATCAAATTTAGCATTGCAAAACTTGAGACCGTTATCAGCACACAAATATTTAACTTTTTTTTACCTGTCTGGCTCTCCACCTTAACTTTTCAAATTTTAAAATACAAGAAGTTTTAGATTTATCTTTCAGTAAATAAACCCACACACATATGGTGAAATCATCAATATTAGACCCAAAATATTTGTTACCACCAAAAGTGGGATTGCTCCCTGGATCTCACAAATTAGTACGAATGTATTCTAACACTCTAGATGTCTTGTGTGTACTAGATGCAAACGACATCCCACGATGGGTACCAAGCACACAATGATCGTAAAATGGCACGTCAGACACTGATCCTTACCAAACACATTCTTGTCATTAACAAACTTATATCCCTTAACATTAACACGAGCTAACCTATTGTGCCACTTCTGTGTGTGATCAGTGTCAATGATAATAGAATTTAAACCACCAATCACTTCAGCATGCATGATGTAAATGCCAGTGTTCCTAGTAGCTTTAAAAGCTCTAAGTGCTTATTAAAGATCTTTAACATTTCATCACCAAGTGCACTAGTGAAACCTATACGCTCCAACTCTCCCATAAGAATTAGATTCCTTTCCATATGTGGAATATACCTAACTTTTTTTAGTGTGTGCACAAAACCATTATCAAATCTGACGGTCACACGACCCATGCTAGTGACCATATATGCAATTCCACGTTATGCAATTACATATCCATGATGAGACTCATGCAAATGATCAAATCACAATTTATTTGATCTAACATGAAAAGATGAACCGAAGTCAAGAATCCACTCATACATATAAGAGTTCATAGACAGGTTAATTTCAGCTAGTTTTAGTATCTAAGAGCATGTAAACCTTAACAGGTTAATCTTTTTGGACAACAACGTTTGCCTCATTGGGTTCACCATTCCTCTAATATTTCTTGTATTTCTCTTCATGACACTCACTAATGAAATGTCCTAATTTACCATAAACATAATATTTCCTCCCATTAGCCTTCTCTTGTAACTTAGATCTATCTCTTCCATTTTTCTTGCCACCGCTGTTTTGTCATTTTTTACCCCTAAACTGAGTTCTACCCCTCATTTGGTAAATCTTTCCTGATTTTCTCTCATTTATTTCAACTTTCATTTCCCTCTCCTAGCCTTTTAAGGAATCAATGCTTATATTGGATGTAACGGTCTCCCTCTCATATTTGATTGCATTCTTAACTTCCCTATAGTTATCAAAAATGACAATCAAATGAAACATTTTCACCACAATTAGTAATATCTTGAATCAATTTATTGAAAATATTATGATTTTCATCTAAATCTCTTGAGGGGTCAATTTTGAAATTGAAAAACTTTCAAGTAAGAAAAGTTCGTTGGGCATGGATTGAGTCAAATAAAGCTTCTCAAGCTTCTTTCAAAGTTTTTCAGCATTATGTTTACTAACATTTTGCAAAACAGTATAAGATAAAAATGCAAGATAGTAGAAGTATAAGCAAGTTCTTTAAACTCTTTTTTTTTTTTTTTAATCTCCCGTCATAGTTATAGCAAAACAATTATCAATGGCTTTTGAAATTTTTGTTGTACTGAAATTCCGTCCTTTCATATTTTGTTATCAAAAAATCACCTTTTACCATTAAAGACATAATTCAAAATGGTGCATAGACATCTTAACAAATCAGATGAGAAGTACGTAAGCAATCTTCAAAGAGACAA